CTCCATGCTGGGGGCAGGAAGGGCCCGGCCCCTCCTGCGCTTCCCGACGGCTGCCTGCCAGCTGGAATCCCCCCCAATCAGGCGGGCTCCCTGCGTCCCCGCCCCGGAGCTCTGCCTTCCCCGGCCGGGATCCGCCTGCCTCCGCCCCCTTTGCATAGCTGCAGTGTCACTGGCTGGGGGGGGGGAAGGGGGGGGGGCGGTGGGACGCATTCATACAGAGGTGGAGTCGCGGTTGGTTTACACTAGGGATCAGTTCCGGGTGTGGCAGCCTATTTTGTTTACTATGAAACCACCTTCATGCTGCGTCTAGACTGGCAAGATTTTGCGCAAAATCTTGCTGCCTGTCTACACTGGCCGCAAGTATTTGCACAAGAACACTGTACAAAATCGGTGCTTTTTGCGCAAATACTCTGATGCTCCCGCTCAGGGATAAGCCCTCTTGCACAAGTATTCTTGCACAAGAGGCCCAGTGTAGACAGCAACGTTAATTTCTTGCACAAGAAAGCCCGATGGCTAAAATGACCATCGGAGTTTTCTTGCTTGTCTACAACTGGCACGGATGCTTTTGTGCAAAATATGTGATTTTGCGCAAAAGCATCCATGCCAGTGTAGACGCTCTCTTGCGCAAATACTTTTAACGGAAAAACTTTTTCGTTAAAAGTATTTGCACAAAATCGTGCCAGTCTAGACGCAGCCATGGGGTTTTGACTCTCTTACCTTTAGTGGAGTCACTCCAGATTTACAGTGGAGTAACTGAGATCAGGATCTGTAAGATCAGTGTCAGTCTCTCTGGATTGACAACAGGGCCAGCGAGCTCAGATTCTTGACAGCGGCAATTTTTAAGCAATCTGCATACATTAACTAATTAATTGACCCCCCACAACACCCCTGTGAGGTAGAGCAGTATCATTATCCTCATTTCATACATGGGGAAACTGAGGTAGAGTGAGAGGGGCAGTGACCAAAGTCACACTCCAAGAGGCCCTACTCCCTAGCACCATGCTTGTCTCTGGCTTGGATAACTTTTTAAAAAGTTGAGCCCCCCCTCCCCCCCCACTCCCACTGTGATGGTGTCTGTGTGAGACACGAATGTGAGACTTAGCTTGTGAATTCAGGAGGGCAGAGTTCTGAGAGGGGATCTGTGTGGGAGGCACTGAAAGAGTTAATAGGCTCTGAACGCCGCAGCTGCCTTTACTAAAATTCTCATCTCTGAGCCATTTGTTCTTGCGGGAGGGGGTTGGGCTCCTATCTCTCCAGACGAGAGGCAATGGAGAAGGCCTCCGAGAAGGGGTGGGGCCGGGGCGTTGGGCCCTTGGCCAGCGTTTCCCAGAACATCTCTAGCAAGTCAGGGCGTTCGGAACAGTTGCTTGTTGCCTCACACAAAGGAGCTCTAGTCCAAGAGACATGCAGGCGATCAAGGCAGGCCGGCCCCGCTTTCACAATAGGCCAAACTGTTTCATAGAATCATAGAACCATAGAGCTGGAAGAGACGTCAGAAGGTCATCAAGTCCAGCCCCCTGCTCTAGGCAGGACCAATCCCAACTGAATCAACCCGGCCAGGGCTTTGTCAAGCTGAGACTTAAACACCTCTAGGGATGGAGACTCCACTACTTCCCTAGGGAACCCATTCCAGTGCTTCACCACTCTCCTAGTGAAATAGTTTTTCCTAATATCCAACCTGGACCTTTCCCACCACAACTTGAGACCATTGCTCCTTGTTCTGCCATCTGTCACTACTGAGAACAACCTCAGACCAGCCTCTCTCCATCCTCTTTGGAACCTCCCTTCAGGAAGCTGAAGGCTGCTATTAAATCCCCCCTCACTCTTTGCTTCTGCAGACTAAATAGACCCAACTCCCTCAGTCTCTCCTTGTAAATACGCTCCAGCCCCCTAATCATTTTGGTTGCCCTCTGCTGGACCCTCTCCAATGCGTCCACATCCTTTCTGTAGTGGGGGGCCCAGAACTGGACACAATACTCCAGATGTGGCCTCACCAAAGCCGAATAAAGGGGAATAATCACATCTCTGGAACTGCTGGCAATGCTCCTCTTAATGCAACCTAATATGCCATTAGCCTTCTTGGCTACAAGGGCCCACTGTTGACTCCTATCCAGCTTCTCGTCCACTGTAATCCCCAGGTCCTTTTCTGCTGAACTTCCACTTAGCCAGTCAGTCCCCAGCCTGTAACAATGCTTGGGATTCTTCCATCCCAAGTGCAGGACTCTGCACTTGTCCTTGTTGAACCTCATCAGATTTCTTGTGGCCCAATCCTCCAATTTGTCTAAGTCACTCTGCACCGTATCCCTGCCCTCCAGCATATCTACCTCTCCCCCTAGCTTAGTGTCATCTGCAAACTTGCTGAGGATGCAATCCATCCCCTCAGCCAGGTCATTAATAAAGATGTTGAATAAAACCGGTGCTAAAACTGAACCTCGGGGTACTCTGCTAGAAACCGAGTGCCATCCTGGCATCGAGCCATTGATCACTACCCGCTGGGCCCGACCTTCTAGCCAGCTTTCTATCCATCTTACCGTCCATTTATCCAATCCACATTCCCTTAACTTGCTGGTAAGAATATTGTGGGAGACCGTATCAAAAACCTTGCTAAAGTCGATGTATATCACATCCACTGACTTTCCCATGTCTACAGAGCCAGTTACCTCATCATAGAAGCTAATCAGATTGGTCAGGCAGGATTTGCCCTTCGTGAATCCATGTTGACTATTCCTGATCACTTTCCTCGCTTCCAAGTGCCTCAAAATGAATTCCTTGAGGATCCCCTCCATGATTTTCCAGGGACTGAGGTAAGACTGACCGGCCTATAGTTCCCTGGATCGTCCTTCTTCCCTTTTTTGAAGATGGGCACTACGTTGGTTTGTTGCAAAGTGCCTCCATGTGAACAAACGACCCCACAAACCGGACCACCCATTCCTCAGACCCTGCTGGATACATCAGCAATTCAACTGGGTTGGCTTCAAATCTGAGCTTCCCCAGTTTCTTAAGGTGCAGCCCATTTTCCACGTATCCCTCCTGAAGCCTCACACACAGCCGCCCTTTTCCCCATCTCCGCCGATCCAGATCCAAGGACAGGAGAAATACACACCCTTTGATGCTGAGCGGCAGAAGAGGGGACTCTACTAGTGGACTGGAAGGACTATGGAACCTGCTGCCCCGACCCGATTTATAACCAATGGCAGCTGAGAGATTGTGCTGGGGGTGGAGGCAGTGTGAAAAGTCCCCCCCCCACACACACACACACTCTGCAAAGACACACGGCACCTAAAGGCTCAGGTCTAAGGCTGTGACAGGCAAGGAGCCTGCTTGAGCGTCCTGGCGGATCCGGATCCAAAGATTTGGCAGACCAGATCTGGCCCAGGGGTAGTATATTGCTCACCTCTGGCCTAGCCCATCCTTGTCCATCCTGATCTTAAAAATCCTCCAAGGATGAATATTCTAGAGTCTCCCTAGATAAGCTGTTCCGCTGCTTAACTGTCCTTAGAATTCGAAAGTTTTTCCTAAAATATAACCTGAAATTCCCTTGCTGCAAAGTAGGCCCATTCTTTGTCCTGTTCTCAGTGGACGTGGGAGACAAGTGCTCACTGGTCTCTTTATAACTCCAATATATTTGAAGACAGTTGTGTTCCCCCTCAGCCTTCTCCGGGCTGAGGGGAATTGCTAACAGGCTTTACAAATGCACAGCCCGTGCCTCATGCTAACAGGTCTAAGAGTTTAGACTCTGCCTGTCTCTGTTGCAGCCAGGAGCTGAGGTCCGGAACTGCACACAAGTTTTCACAGGAAATGAAGAAGCCCAGAAAGAGCAAGACCGTTTTTGGCAAGCGTCAGCTCTGTCTGCCTAAGCCCCACCCCATTAATTGCTAACAGGCTTTACAAATGCACAGCCCGTGCCTCATGCTAACAGGTCTAAGAGTTTAGACTCTGCCTGTCTCTGTTGCAGCCAGGAGCTGAGGTCCGGAACTGCACACAAGTTTTCACAGGAAATGAAGAAGCCCAGAAAGAGCAAGACCGTTTTTGGCAAGCGTCAGCTCTGTCTGCCTAAGCCCCACCCCATTTCGTTTCCCCAGCTCTGGGCCAGCCCCTGGCAGCTTTGCTCAGCTCTATGAAGAGGCAGGATGGTGAAAACGGTGCGGGATCACCTGGTGGACACGCTAGACGAGCTGGGGCAGGAGGAGCTGAAGCGCTTCAAGAGCAAGCTGAACGTGTTCCCAGTGAAGGAGGGTTACAACAACATCCCCCGGGGCAAGCTGGAGAAAGCCGACGTCCTGGATCTGTGTGACATGCTGATCAGCTTCTACCGGGAGGACTATGCCCTGCAGGTGACCACGGCGATCATGTCAGACATCAATAAGAAGGACCTGGCGGACAGACTCTGCCAAGCTACAGGGGCTGGTAAGGTGCAGGCGGGGAGAGATCACTGCTCCGGCTAAGGGTCCTGAAGCGCTTTGAGATCAATAGAGGAGCTCTGTACAAAAGCGCAGGGTTCTTCTTCCGGAATCCGTCCCTGAGCTCTCGCTCCTTCCGTGCAGGGTGCTAGCTTGCGACGGGAGCGGTCCCCATCTCCAAGGAAGTGACAGTGACACTAAGCGTGTAGCGTGAGCTCTGCTCTGTCTTCTGCCCCTGCCTGCCTGGCTCTCTCTCTGTCAGCACTGCCTCTCTTCCCTCTGGCTGACACCCTCCGCACAGGCCACACACGGAGTCCCAGAGTGACAAACGTGTCCTCACAACTTAGACACCAGAGTTCGAGTTTGAAAGGCTGTGGTCCTAGCACCGGCTGTCCGGCACCTCTCTCTGCCACTTGGCACCACACTGAGTTACGGGCCGGGAGGAATCCGACATTTTGGTGGGGGGGTTTGAAAACGAATCTTCCATTTCCTTTCAGTTGTGTTTCTTCTAAGTGCTTGAAATCTGCTTTCACTTTTGAGGCACTTTCCGTCCTCTGCCTGACCTTGCTGGAAGTTTCTGCAGGTTGTTAGTTCTACCTCTGACCCCCCCTCAGTGCTACTGTGGAAACAGGGCAAACTTCACGGAAGCAGCCTCAGTTTGCTCCCAGCTGAGAAATGGCCCCCAGGGCCTTTTGTTTTGAGACCAAGGGCCGGGTTCTCAGCGGGTGTAATTCAGCATCGCTTTGTGCATTTACACCACTTTATAGCAAGTGGGGATCCGGCCCTGACTGGCCTATTGATTGGTCTGTGCACAGCATTGCACGGAGGACTCTGTCCAAATGGCGACAGAAAAAGAGAAAGCACCTTTCGGTTGCTGCTGTTAAAAGCAGAGCAGTGGGGGAAATGGCGGGAAGCTGACGGGCGCTATAGCAAAGCCACAGACAGGGAGTTCAAAGTTGAACTCGGATCCCAGCTGAAGAGCGGACCATGTGAACGTGTCTTACTCTTTTTCCCACTCCGTTCCAACTTTTGCTCCAGCTGTGTGTCCCTCCCTTTCCCCTCTCTCTCGCTTGTTTCTGTGGATTTATCTCCGCTGCACGTCCAGCGAGATAGCCGAGGTAGCTGACTCTAGCTAGCTCAAGCACAGCTAGCAGGGAAGCCGCATAGTACAGACCCTAACACAGCTGTTACACACGTCTCTGTCCAGGATGCTAGCTAGAAAAAGGAACTTCGCCCCTTCGAAGCAGAAATGTCGCCATTTCTCTCTGGATCGCTCTGTGTGTCTGTCACCGTCTCTCGTTGGGTGCGTGTATTCAAGGGGCTGCTCCCCGCAGCTGTCAGTGCTCACCCCAGGGAGATGCTAGCGACCAACGTGGGGGACTCAGACACTCCCTGACTGTCCCTCTCTTTCCTGCAGGATCCGGAGGCGAGGGGCAGGAGCCAGGGCCACCCGGTGGTGCTACAGGAGGACAAGGTGAGTCCCGAAGCACCCAAGGGTGCTTTTTCCTTCCCCAGGCAGGCCGAGGGGTGTTCAGAAGTGTGGGCTCCCTGCAGAGCGACCTGCCCTTCCCGCAGTCTGTCCCCTCCAACCCAGAGCCACCTCCCCTCTCCTGGGACCAACCTTCCATCCTCCCTGCTAACCAGAGTCCAGCTCTGCTGCCCCCAGCTCCTCTAGTGCAACACTAGGGGGCGCTGTGCTGCAGGAGCAGGGCAGAGGGCTCCCAAGGCCTAGGGGGTTCTGGCTCCTCGGTCGGTACTGAGCTGATTCCCCAGGGTGGTGCTAGGGGAGGCCTGCACAACATACGGCCTGGGGGCTGCAGGAGCTCACTGTGCAGCCCGGCCGGGTGGAGGAGCAGAGCGCTGCCGGGAAGGGGGAAGTGCGGCGATTCTCAGCGCTGGGCTGCCTGCGTGCAGCTGCAGTGTGAGGAGGCGGGGCGCGAGCCAGAGGGCAGGACTTGGGTGATATTTATTAATAACTTATTAGTAATTACCATTCTTATTCTTATTAGGAATTTATGCCATTAAAAAACACTTTTGGGGAGGAGGTGGCAAGTCCCTTTTTCATCTGGCAAGTAGGGTTTTCCATAATTTGTTGAGCCCTGGGAATAATAGTGGTTGGAGTCCCTGGAACATAGAAGTACTGTACCTTGTTAGGCAGATTGTATTTGTTCCCTCTTCAGTTTGCTCGCTGATGTATCTTAGATGATCTCTTTCTGTACGTAAGTAAATATTTTAATTTTCTGTTTTCCAAAATCTTTTAAATGTCAGTATTTTAACTTATAATGGTTTATATTGTTCTTCCATCTTATATGCAAATTATGAAAACACTTGCAATAGCATATTTTAATAAGTCAAAATTTACTGAAATGTCATTAAATCACCAATTAACATAATTACTTTGTCAATATCACATTTACGAATACAAAACACCATGGAATATCTTCTGAAATATAAAATTAAGGTGAAGATTTTAAAAAATAAAAATACTTATCTTTAGGGATATCAAGCTGTTTTGAAGGGGCCATTCTTAATAAAGAATCACTCCCTCCCCAAAACCTACCCTTGCGGCTAGGGTTGCCAGGGGTCCGGTTCTCTACCGGATAGTATTGAGCCCGTCTGTTCGGTATTTTTTGGGAGAGCATCTGGCAACCCTACTTGCGGCCCGCAGCTGTTTTCTTTGGAGTAATATGGCCCTCGCCGCTTTCCGAGCTGTGCAGGCCTGTGCTAGGGGGCTTTGCTGCAGAGGCAATGGAAGGTCCAGTAGGGGGCGCTCTCCCCTCAGAGTTACCGTGGCCTCAGAGCCCCAGCATGGCACTAGGGGGCGCTGTGCTGTGGGGAACACTGGGGGTGATTCACTCAGTACAACTGTCCCCTTTATGTCAGTGCTGGCCCCACGGCTAAGGGGGCGCCATAGGGGAGGGGAGCTCAGCGGGACGGGACGTCCACTCGGTCATGTTGGCATCAGTGGGGGGGAGATGCACTGTGGGGAGCAGGGTGCTGTGCCACCTTACGTCCATGCTGACCCCAGTGCCCCACGCACTTGTGACCATCAGCCCTTCTCCATCTTCCAGGCTCCGCCTGTAATTCGGGGTGTCAATGTCAGAATCCCAACATTGACGTGAGAGCGATTGGAGACCGATGTGTCAGTTCGTAGCAGACATGATCAATCGCTGGCTGGTGGATCGATTGCAGCAGCGTTGATCCCCAGTGCAGTGGAAGCCGAGTGGTGCTCGGTTCTGCTGGTGGCCGGGTGGCAGGTGGAGGTGATGAGCCTGTGATCTGGTGGCTAAGAGAGCTGAGCCTTGACGCACGAGCCTTTGCTTCCTGACGTAAAAAATCAAGAAGGTCCCGATTCACTCCCTCCCACCACCAACCCCCCCGGGCACGGCCTCACTTGTGGTGTCCGCCCATGGCAGCAACAGTGTTGTGTGGTTGTTAACCAGCTGTCACGCCTCACCCCGGTCCGCCGGGTTAGATTACGAAACAGACATGTGCAGCCAGCTGCTCATTGCTCTCTCTGTGCGTTGCCTCCCCCAGAGCAACATTTTGTCGAGCGGCACCGAGAGCAGCTGATTCAACGTACCACCCCTGTGGAGCCCATCCTGGACGTTCTCCACGGGGTCGTTCTGAGCGACGAGCAGTACGACACTGTCCGGTCCGGGACGACCAGCCAGGAGAAGATGCGGAAGCTCTATGAGCTAATGAAGGCCTGGAATAAAGACTGCAAGGACCGCTTGTATAAAGCCCTGAAAGACAAGAATAGGTTCCTCATTGAAGAACTTGAGGGGAACTAGGGCCTCCAAGACGTTACGTTCCCTGTGAACGTGCAGCCGTTCCGGGGGCAAGAGACCCTGCCTCCCGCATTCCAGGTGGCTTTCTGGGCATGGTGCTTTCATCCCTTTGTCTACATTGCTGTGGGGCAGGAGCCCTCGTGCCAGAGCTCTTTGGCGGAGTGGCTGAGCCGGTGATGGGAGGCAGCATTGAGGGGTCTCTACGGTATGTCCACACTGCAGTTAAACACCTGTGGCCGGCCCGTATCACCTGACTCAGGCTCGCAAGGTTCAAACCGAGGGGGTGTTTCACTGCACCATCGACGTGTGGGCTTAGGAGGAGCCCATACCCTCCCCCGCATGGGGTCCCACAGCCCGGGCCCAACCGAACCCAAACTCCTACAACAAGGTTGCACGGCCCCTGAGCCCAAGGCCTGTGAGCCGGCGGTAGCTGACATGGGCCAGCTGTGAGTTTTTCATTGCCGTGTGGACATACCCTAAAGGAAATAAGGGCCGTACCTGATGGACGAGATACCAGAGGAGCTCTCTGCCCCATGGGGAACGGAGCAGAGCTCCAAGGGGCTGAAAGGCCAAACAGCATCCCATCCGTCATGTACTTCCCCACGTGCCTCTACAGCCCGTCCCTGCACCTCCCCGCATCACTGCGACCGAGGCTACACTACAGAGCTTGCGGCTGCCGGCACTCTGAGCAGACAGAAGAGAGCCCTCCCGTCCGCCTAAGTACTCCAGCCCCGCATGGCGCTGTCCACACCGGCGCTTAGGTCACTGTAACTTATGTCCCTCGGGGGTGGGGTGTTATTCACACCCCTGCACGACGTAACTTACGCTGACGTGAGCTGAGGTGTGCACGTAGCCTCTCTGTTTCCATGTGAGCTCAGGAAAGCGGCCTTGTCAAGGGTGGCTGGGCTGGACCAAATTCAATCTTACAATTCCCTCCAAGGCTCTGCCTTTGTCCTCCCGCCTTCCCTGCCGGCCGCCAAGAACTCCGGGCCTGTCTCCTGTAGCGGTGGTTTCGGTTTGGTTTTGTTTGGGGATGGAGAAGGGGGGTTAGAATCGTAGGACTGGAAGAGACATCAAGAGGTCATCAAGTCCAGTCCCCTGCCCTCATGGCTGGACCAAGCACCGTCTAGATCATCCCTGACAGGTGTCTGTCTACCCTGCTCTTACATATCTCCAGGGGTAGAGATTCCACAACCTCCCTAGGCAACTTATTGCAGTGCTTAACCACCCAAGTAAGAAGTTTTTCCTCTTGTCCAACCTCAACCTCCCTTGCTGCAGTTTAAGCCCAGTGCTGCTTCTTCTGTCCTTAGGGGTCAGGAGAACCAGTTTTCTCCCTCCTCCTTGTAACATGGACAAAGATGGTTTCCCCCAAAGTATTTTTTTAAAACCATGTCTGTGTATTTCGTATCATGAGCATTCAAGGACCCACGAAATCCCATGATCCCATCGACATGTTTTGTTCGTCTATAAAGTGCTAGCCGGCCATTTGTTGTTTTTAAAATGGATCCCGTACAGACGAACTCGGCTCCCCGCTGAAGCTGCTGAACGTGTATTTTGTTATCAAATGGAAACTTAGGAATGACGGCCACAAATAAAGCTGGAAGGTGACCCGGGCTAAGAGAGATGATGCACTTTCTGCTCTGTGCCCCCTGGCTTTTCAGTCAAAGAGCCCTTAGGTGAGAGGAGAGTGGAGATGGATGGGGGTGCCTGGATGAAATGGATGGCTGAGGAGGACAGATGGCATGGGTGGGGGGTGAATTGGTGGGTGGTATGAACAGTCTGGATGGGAAGGGGGTGCATTGGTAGGTGGCATGGACAGACGGGGTGGGTGGCATGGGTTAGGGGTGAATTGGTAGGTGGCATGGACAGACGGGGTGGGTGGCATGGGTGGGGTGGTGAATTGGCCGGTGGCCTGGACAGACGGGGGGGGTGGCCTGGACAGACGGGGTGGGTGGCCTGGACAGACGGGGTGGGTGGCCTGGACAGACGGGGTGGGTGGCCTGGACAGACGGGGTGGGTGGCCTGGACAGACGGGGTGGGTGGCCTGGACAGACGGGGTGGGTGGCCTGGACAGACGGGGTGGGTGGCCTGGACAGACGGGGTGGGTGGCCTGGACAGACGGGGTGGGTGGCCTGGACAGACGGGGTGGGTTGATGGTCTGATGGGTGGTGGGTCTGGCTGGGTGGCCTGGACGAATGGCAGGGTTCAGAGGCGTTAGGTTGAAGAGCACGTGCAGAGAAGAGGACCAGCGTGGGTGGCAGCCGGGGTTAAGCAGTGGCTCACATGATACGCACAAGGAGAGCTGCCCCTTCGGGGCCTGAAGGGAAGACCCGCCAGGCAGGGAAATGAAGCGGGAGCCGCAGGTGGAAGTGGTTTCTGGGAGGGCGTGTTCCTGGGGTTGCTGTCTGCTCCCCACAGTAGGTGGCGCAGGAAGAGCTGCACCCCATGAGGGAAGATGCCCCCACCGGGACTCCCCTACATGTGCCCCTCCCTCGCCCGGAGAGGCAGATCACAGCGTGTGGAACCTACACGATCCCTCTCCCGCAAGGTCGGAACGTCCTGTCCAGGGCGGGAAGTTCTACTCGGTGGCGCGGCAGCAGCACAGCTCAGCCGTTGCGAGCACACACCCGCCAGGGTGAGGCGAGGGAGGCGCATGGCTGAGGGGCGCAGAAAACACAGCGACTGCGCTGTCTTCGCTCGTGCCTCGCGTCACCTCAGCGCCCCCGCGTCTTGCCTCAGGCGCCAAATTAGCTAGTTACGACTCTGCACCCGCTACCCCCATTGGCACTCACTTAGCCAGGTCCCTGTTGGCCAAGGCTCGCTGGCTCTTTACTCTCTCGCTAGCTAGAGGGGAGCTAGCGTATGGCTGGGCAAGCTGGGAATCACACCCCTAGCCTGGAGTGTGCACTCGGGCCAGATCTATGGCACACACTTACTTTGGAATAACTAAGGTTACATTAGAACATAAGAGTGGCCAGACTGGGTCAGACCAAAGGGCCATCTAGCCCAGTGGCCTGTCTGCCACCAGTAGCCAATGCTAGAGGCCCCAAAGGGAGTGAAATGAACAGGGAATTATCACATGATCCTCTCCTGTCATCCATTTCTACTCCTGAAAAACAGAGGCCGGGGACACCATTCCTACCAATCCTGGCTAATAGCCATTGATGGACCTAACCTCCAGGAAGGTATCTATTTCTCTTTTGAACCTTGTTAGAATCTTGATCTTCACAATATCCTCTGGCAAGGAGTTCCACAGGTGAACTATGTACTACGTGAAGAAAAATGGCCTTTTGTTTGTTTCATACCTGCTGCCTATTAATTTCATTTGGTGACCCTTCGTTCTTATGTTATGGAAACAAGTAAATAATTATTCCTTATTGTGACGTAGTGGGGGTACCTGGCTGATTTCTATGCTGCTGGCTCTGGGGTAACCCCCACTGGCTGCCGCGGGTACCACGACCCAGCAAAACAGGATGAGTCACTATGCAAACCAGTATGGCCAGACACCCCCCATGCAGAGGAACAAAGGAAGGTGGAATGCTGCCCTGGATGGGGGGCAGGACGGGAAGAGAGTTAGTGGGTGGCTGTCTGGGAGCATGGAGGAGACAGCCTAGGGAAAGGGGCTGGAGTTTAGGGGCCCAGTCTCCCCCATCTCAAGGGGGCCTGAGGCATCCTAGCCCAGCTCTGTGACCAGATTCCATCTGTGCTGTGCTGTGTCCTGGAGAGGGAATAAACTTCCTCTATTCCACCGGCTGGTGCAGTCTGTTTGTGCCATTTCGGGGTGCAGGAGACGGGGGACCCCCAACGCGCTGTCACACTTATTCATTTACTCCATACCTGTTGTGATTTCATAGACCTCTATCCTATCCTCACTTAGTCTCCTCTTTTCTAAGATGGAAAGTCCCAGTCTTTTTAATCTCGCTTCAGATGGCACCTGTTCCAAACCTTTCATTATTTTTGTTGCCCTTTTCTGAACCTTTCTGATCTGGGACTCTCTGGATCTGCAACATTCATGGCCTGGGACACCTTGTAACGCCTAACTCTTCCTCCCTGCCCCAAATAAAACAACATCTGAGTTTCACCCCCAACTCACACTGTAGATATACCTGGAGTACACAAGAGGAAAGCTCTAGCAATGCAGGCTACTTCACAGGAGTGGGCATTTGTTTGTTTTGCATTTGGGGAGTTATTTGATTTTGAGACTTTTTGATGTATTCATTCTTCTTTCGGTTTATTTTCAGGATGCTGTATTTTTACATCCCTGTTTACTTTTCATCTGTAGTATTTATTATGTTTGGAAGTGAATAGGGGACGTTTCAGTTCCCAGGGAATTCTGAAAAGTTGGGTTGGGGGGGGAGGAATTCAGATCAAACAAAAAATGAAATGTGGCAATGTGGAAAATCGGAGAGAAACCTTCATGCTGGGAGAACTAGCACAATTTTGACAAGACAGAAACATTACATTTCAGTGTCACCCATTTTTTAAATCAAAAATGTTTTTAAAAAGATATCACAGAGAAGTTGTTTTGAACCACAAAACTAAAACCTGTTTTTAAGTGCAATTACAGATTCATAGTAAGGTGGGTCTGGAAGAGACTTCAAGGCTGCGACTACACTGGCATGATTTTCCGCAAATACTTTTAACGGAAAAGTTTTTCCGTTAAAAGTATTTGCGCAAGAGAGCGTCTACACTGGCACGTGCTTTTGCGCAAAAGATGTGTAGACGCTCTTTTGCGCCAGTGAAGTGTAGACGCTCTCATGTGCAAGAAAGCGCCGATGGCCATTTTAGCCATCGGGCTTTCTTGCGCAAGAAATTAACGTTGCCTGTCTACAATACTTGCGCAAGAGGGCTTATCCCTGAGCGGAAGCATCAGAGTATTTGCGCAAATAGCACTGATTTTGTACATTACAACGTCAGTGTTCTTGCGCAAATACTCACGGCCAGTGTAGACAGGCAGCAAGATTTATTGCAAAAGCAGGCGCTTTTGTGCAAAATCATGCCAGTGTAGACCCAGCCCAAGGGTATTTTTACACTGCATTCCTCTTTCAAAAACAAAAGGTAGGACTATGTAGCACTTTAAAGACGAACAAGATGGTTACTTAGATGATGAGCTTTCGTGGGCCAGACCCACTTCCCCAGATCAAATTGTGGAAGAATGAACCATCTTGTTAGTCTTTAAAGTGCTACACAGTCCTACCTTTTGTTTCAGCTAGACCAGACTAACACGGCTGCATCTCTACTCCTCTTTCACGAGAGGAATGCAAATGCAGCCGAGTGAAATTGCAAATGAAGCATGGATTTGAATTCCCTGCGCTTCATTTGCATAATCGCAACTGGCCGCTATTTCGAAATACCCTATTTTGAGATAAAAAACGCTGTGTAGATGTGGTCATTTTGAACAAAGCCCTTCTTTCAAAATAACCCAGAAGATTATACAAGTCCGATAATCTTTTTTTTTTTCACCCCTGGCCTCTTGCCTATCTATAATGAACCAGTAGTGAAAGTAAGAATTGGGAAGGAGTATTTGTGCAGCTAGGGGTGTATATATTTTTTCTCATATTTGACCAAAAATATCTATATTTAGTGAGAATCTTTTCCCCGGATCCTCTTTATTTGTCACCTCGTGTTGATAGCATTTGTATGGAGACAGTTATTTTTCTAGGGGCCTCTCAATCTATGAGGCCCTAAACTTTAGCTTAGTTAGTTCATGCCTGAATCCGGCACTGCCTGCATCTGTCAAACGGTAGAGGGCTGGCACTCCTTAAAGGGCAGCCACAGTGGAGAGCTAGTAGCCTGGCTTACAAATGCCAGGCCGTCTGCTCATGCTAATCAGGTGTCTGAAATGCTTTGGAGTTTGCCTTCTGTGTGTGCAGAGTGTCTGACACAGGCAGGAAGCTGGTGGAGTTGGTTGCTACTTTGTTTAGTTCTGCGGCTGCGCCGGGGACACAAGGGCTCGCAGCGAAGGAGGAGGAAGCAGATAAAAAACAGAACAGTTTTCGCCAGCTTTAGATCCTGCCTGAGCCCCACCCTGTTTCTCCTGCACACCAATCGCTTCTCAGGCCAAAGGACGGCTCCTCTAGCTCCGGGCCAGCTCCCTGGCACTTGGGCTCAGCTCCCTGCGGCTGCAGGATGGGATTACTGCCGGATGACTTGGTGGTCATCCTCGCAGAGCTGGATCAGAAGGAGCTGAAGCAGTTCAAGATGAAGCTGGTCGTGTTCCCAGTGAAGGAGGGGTGCGACAACATCCCGCCGGGCCGACTGGAGAAAGCCAAAGCCCTGGAATTGTGTGCCATCCTGAAAAGCTACTACGGGAAAGACTATGCCCTGCAGGTGACCATGCAGCTCCTGACAGACATAGGGAGGAGCGACCTGGCGGAGATCCTCGGCCAGACAACAGGGGCTGGTAAGAGTCGGGGCAGGGAGAGATCAGGGAGATCTAGAGGCCCTGAGCGCCTTTGCAAAGGGCTTTGAGATGGGCGGGTGAGCTCTGTACAAGACAGCATGTGCAGAGAGCGATGCACAGAGGGGCAGGCAGGCCCGCCTGTGCCCCCAGACGACTGCCGGGTTCACACCAGAGCGTGGCCTGCAGCAGCCTGTCCGCACGGTGCAAGCCACGCCCTGTCTCCCAGCTGCAGCGCAGGCAGGAAGGGGTTAAGTCCTAGGGTGGCCTTGGGCACTGAAGCTCCTGGAACAGGGGTGGTGCATGTGAAGACACATTTCTTCCCCCCCCCCTTCTGTGAGTGCCAAGCTGCTCTGCTTGGCCTGAGGAAGGGGGAGAAGCAGAGGGGAAGGAGGTGGGATAAGGACAAGGAAGTGAAAGTGAAAGGGGGAGTGGGATGGGGAACGGGAAGGTGGGGGTCGGAGGGGGCATTCAGTGTGCCAGGGCTCCTGGGTTCTAGTTCCGGCTCTCAGAGGGGAGTGGGGTCTAGTGGTTAGACCAGTGAGGGCTGGAGGGGGCATTCAGTGTGCCAGGGCTCCTGGGTTCTAGCTCCGGCTCTCAGAGGGGAGTGGGGTCTAGTGGCTAGACCGGTGAGGGTTGGAGGGGGCATTCAGTGTGCCAGGGCTCCTGGGTTCTAGCTCCGGCTCTCAGAGGGGAGTGGGGTCTAGTGGTTAGTGGGGAGAGGGGGGGAGCGAGGACTCCTCCATTCCATTGCTGAGTCTAGGACGAGCCTGACTTCGGAATTAGGCCCCGTTGCTGTGAGCTTCCCCGTAACAGTGCCGTAGCCATGCCTGCAACCATCCTGACACGGGGGTGTCCTCACCTGTCTGGTGCTCCCTGGCCCCGGGGGACGATTGCTCCAGCCGCTCAGGTCAGTGGGTCTCCCAGCTGCCCTTCGGCCCTAGGGTCTCACGTATGGATCCCGGCATCACTTTCCCGCTGGTGCAGGCAGGGGTGAGCACGCGGCAGCTTCCCTTGCGGTCTCCCCAGGAGAGGTTACAGCCAGCGCCCCCATCAGCTCCGGAAGCTGCAGACAGTCGGATCTGCCTGCCTCGGGGCTTCATTTGGCCGCTCTGTACCTCTTGTCTGCAAAAGGCTTTGGGCTGCGCTAGACCCCACTCCCTCTGAGAGCAGGGGGGGTGCATCTCTTGGGCAGGGAGGTGGGAGGGCTCGGCAGGGGGCATGGTCCCCTAGCAATCAGTGCTGACCCGCATGTCCAGGGAGATGCTAGAGACCAACGTGGGGGACTCAGACACTCCCTGACTGTCTCTCTCCTGCAGGATCCAGAAGTGAAGGGCAGGAGTTCGATCTATCTTGTGGTGGTGCCACAGGAGAACTATGTGAGTCCCTAAGCACCCGAGGGTGCTTTTTGCTTCCCCAGGCAGGCCGAGGGGTGTTCAGAAGGGCTCCCTGCAGAGCGACCTGCCCCTCCTGCAATCTGCCCCCCCACCCAAAGCCACCTCCCCGCTCCTGGGACCAACCTTCCACTCTGCCTGCCATGCACAGCCTAGCTCTGCCGCCACCAGCCCCTCTAGTGCAGAGACTCTCAACCTCTTCTTAACCAGGGATCCCTAACATTAACTAGACAAAGCCATGGACTCCCAGAGGAAGGGGGCGGGAGGGGGTCAAGTGCCATCCTCCCCAGATTTCTGCCCTCCAGCTGGCCCTGAAATGCCTGTTCTGGTCACTCCCTCTGGAGCACCCAGCTCTGGCCACAGTCAGAAGAGATGGACCTTTGGTTGAATCTAGTTTGGTTGCTCTTATGAAAGAAAAGCTGAAGAAGCAATGAATTCATTTAATCAAAGAAGATGGTGAGCAGGTCGACCTTACTGCTGCCTCAGACTGACAAGATGGCGGATGCTTTTAGGACTTCATCCCAGATAATGGATAAGGGGAATAAGAATAGGACAGAATTAGGGTAGAACTAGATCAGAATAGAGCCACAAGCACCAAGACATTATGTGACAGAGGAAGGAATATGTCTGAAATCATTTGTTTCTGACTATTTTTCTTAATTCCGATTTGACTCCAATACCTAATAAACAACCGACAGAAAGGCACTCTATGTTAAATATTCCAACACTCGTTCTCACAGCATGCGTTCACTAAGATCATTCATGTTTCATCAGTACAAAGCCTGACTGCATGGGAGAAGGAACGTTACTCTTGGAGTGAGTTAGAACGAATAGCTTCCTCTGAAGGGGGAAATTGGAGTGAACATTCCACAGCAGAACAAGGAAGAAATGAGAAATGCAAGTTATGCCCAAGAGAAGAGGTAGCTGTCTATTTATTTCCCATTGCTAGGTTCAGTCACATCCATCCATAACTAATCTCTGTCTATCCATCTCCCTGTTACTCTTTCTGTATATTCCCTGTAATCCTTCTGGCCATGCTGCTAATCACCTGCTCTCTAAGGGTACGTCTAGACTACATGGCTCCATCAATGGACGCTCCCCTGCCGACATGAAAGCCCTTTATCGACCTCCCCGGTAAACCTCATCCTACGAGGCATAACGGGGAGGTTGGTAAAGAGCTTTCAGGTCAGTGCGGGAGCGTCCAGACTGCCCCGATCTGCCGACAAACAGCTGATCGGCAGAGCGGGGCAGCCATTTAAATTTAAATGAAGCTGCGATTATTTAAATTGCGGCTTCATTTCCCTCTGCCGATCAGCCTAATCTACATGGCTTCATTGATGGAGCCATGTAGTTTAGACACAACCTAGGGGTACATCTAGACTAGAGTATAAGCTTTTGTTGACAGAAGTTTTGTCAACAGATACTGTCAACAAAGCTTCTGTCGACAAAGAGCGTTGACATTATGTCGACAGAACTCAGCAGCAGTGTAGATGCAGGTACAGTTTTGTCAACAAAACTGTCTAGACTACAGGGTTTTGTCGACAAAAGTGGACTTTTATCGACAAAACTATACCTGTGCTCACACTTCCATCGAGTTATGTCGAAATAAAGTCGACATAACTCAGCAGTTTTGTCGATGTATGTAAACCTCATTCTACGAGGAATAACGCCTTTTGTCAACAGAGTTCTGTCAACAGAAAGCGTTATTGCATCTACACTGTCCTTTGCGTCCAACACTGTCATGTTGACAAAGCGGCTTGCTGTAGTCTGTGTTGACAAAACTGGCTGTAGTCTGTGTTGACAAAACCCTGTAGTCTAGACACACCCTAAGGGTATGTCTACACATGAAAGCTATTTCGGGATACCAGCAGTAACCCGAAATAGCTACCGCACGTCTTCACAAGCCACCTGTTATTTTGAAATATTTTTCAAAATAATGGGCGCGCTTTTTCGGCATCCTAGTAACTCTCATTCCACAAGGGTTAAGGGATGTCTCGAAATAGCACTTTATTTCCAACTTTGATGCTGTGTAGACGGCACCTAATTTCAAAATGGCCTATTTCAAAATATACTCGAAATAAATACGCAATTTGCATAGCACAAACTGAGTATCTTATTTCGAGTTTAGAGTGCAGTGGAGACATAGCCTAAGGCTGCGTCTAGACTGGCATGATTTTCCAGAAATGCTTTTACCGGAAAAGTTTTCCGTTAAAAGCATTTTCGGAACAGAGCATCCAGATTGGCACGGACGCTTTTCCGCAAAACACTTTTTGCGGAAAAGCATCTGTGGCCAATTTAGACGTGCTTTTCCGCAAAAAAGCCCCGATCGCCATTTTCACGATCTGGGCTTTTTTGCGGAAAACAAATCTCAGCTGTCAAGAAGCACTGATTTCTTACAGTAGGAAGTCAGTGCTTTTGCAGAAATTCAAGCGGCCAGTGTAGACAGCTGGCAAGTTTTTCCGGAAAAGCGGCTGATTTTCTGGAAAAAATGGCCATTCTAGACACAGCCCAAGGGTATTTCTGAACAGCAATGTTATTTCAGAGAAACTGACGTTATTCTGAAAACACATAGTCTGCATCTAGACACAAGCAGTTATTTTGACTGCTTCCTCTGACTCCTGTAACAAGCTGTGTCTAGACTGGCAAGTTTTTCAGCAAAATCATCTGCTTTTGCAGAAAAACTTGCCAGCTGTCTACACTGGCCGCTTGAATTTCCACAAAAGCACTGATGATCTCATGTAAGATTGTCAGTGCTTTTGCGGAAATACTATGCTGCTCCCGTTCGGGCAAAAGTCTTTTTCCGAAAAACTTTTGTGCAAAAGGGCCAGTGTAGACAGCAGAGATTTGTTTTCTGCAAAAAAGCCCCGATCACGAAAATGGCGATCCGGGCTTTTTTTGCGGAAAAGCGCATCTAGATTGGCCACGGACGATTGGCCACGGATGCTTTTCCACAAAAAGTGCTTTTGCGGAAAAGCGACCTGCCAATCTAGACGTGCTTTTCCAAAAATGCTTTTAACGGAAAACTTTTCCGTTAAAAGCATTTCCGGAAAATCATGCCAGTGTAGACGTAGCCAAGGAGTAAGCGAATTCGGACGTAGAGAGCTCTATTTTGAAATAAGCGCAGTGTAGACACTCCCCATTTCGAAATAAGATATTTTAACGCAAGCTACGCAGTTAGAAAAGCTCAAGTTGCAGAACTTATTTCATAGTTGCATAGCTCAGCCCTGCTGTGTAGACGCACCCTAAATGAAGACACACCGAGTACCCAGAGGAATGACTGGCCATGGGGCTGTAAGCCAGATGATCACAGATTCCCCCCTGCCAGCCACCCCATCAGGGTGCCAAGCCAGGGAGTCAGCCCTGGTCAAATACTAGGCCCCAGCTGTCCAGTTACTTCCTTCCCCAGCGGGAAATCCCACTGGATCTGCATTAACGCCTGTTCCTGTTCCAGGACCTTCAAGAAAAAATATTCCCAGAGACTGTTTGCAGCCCAGATGGGGAGCAGGAAACGTACAGGTGAGAGCTGGGTTGGGAGTTGGGTGTCACCCGTCTTTAGGAGCCTGTGTCTGGAGGCGCAGGCTGGCTCCTATGGCCCTGTGTGTGCAGCGTCCTGTGGGGAAGACCTGGCTGGGGAAGAGCCGGTACAATTAGCACAATTGTCTGAGTGAAGCTCCACTGAGCCTCACGGCTGCTTCTCCACTGGCGAGGACCTGGCTAGTTTACTGGGACAGAAACTTGGAGCTGTGCCGCAACCCGTAACACAGGGCTGCACCCACGCAGACAGCGCCAGGGTGGGGTTCAGAGCCCTCGTTAGTTACAGGAGGGACCAGCGGCGTCTGCTAATGACTTGGGGAGCAGAGTGAGGTCTAAGCAGCTGAGAGTGGGGGTTGGTAAGGATCAGGACGCAGGCGTTTAATCCTTGGCTTTGGAAAAGCAGTGGGGTCTAGTGGTCAGAGCAGGAGGAACAGCAATCCTGGGGGACACACGCAGCCCTGACACTGATTATCTATATGGCCTTGGTGACAAGTCATTTCTCTGCATTGTGCCTCAATTTTGCCATCTGTAAAGTGGGGGTAATGTTACTTCCTTACCAGGATTTATGATGATTCTTTTGTTGACATTTGTAAATCCTTTGATGGTGGGAGCTAGATGGGGGAGGGTATTACTAATCGCTCCCCCTGCCTTTTGAGTAGAACATCTAGGCTGAACAGAAGTGAAGCCACCTGTTTTGAATTAGATCAAGAGCTGGGAAAGGTCCATTTGGCACCGTTGAACCCTCCTCTGGCGTCTCCCTATCTCCCCACACCCTGCAGGGTTCACCTCCCCACGGCAGGCACGTTCTGTTGCTCTGAAACCGACCTGGGGTTCGAGGTGCGGGCCCCCGTGACTGTCCAGTACGGATACGACTCCTGGGATCGGCACCTGGCTGCACGGAGCACTCCGAAATGGATGGTGGCTGGCCCCTTGTTCAGCATCCGGGCGGAGCCGGCCCGGGCCGGGGCAGCCCTGCACCTCCCGCACTTCCTGTGCCTCACGAGCGCTGAGAGCAGTAAGTAGGTTCCAAGCCAGGGCTGGGAGCGTGGAGCTGGGACCCCCAGCCACCAGGACACGTGCTGCAGACGGTGGATATTAGTGTGGTAGCACCCGGAGACCCTGGTCCAGATCAGAGCGCTGGGTGCTAAACAAACACACAGTCCCGGCAGAGACAGTCACTAGATCAGCCCGGCCAGGTAACCCTGGACACACATTGGCTACGTCTACACTGGCATGATTTTCCGAAAATGCTTTTAACGGAAAAGTTTTCCGTTAAAAGCATTTTCAGAAAAATTGTGTCTAGATTGGCAGGATGCTTTTCCGCAAAAGCACTTTTTGTGGACAAGCGTCTGTGGCCAATCTAGATGCAGTTTTCCGCAAAAAAGCCCCAATCGCCATTTTCGCAATCGGGGCTTTTTTGCGGAAAACAGTACACTGGCCCTTTTGCGCCAAAGTCTTTCAGAAAAAGACTTTTGCCCGAACGGAAGCAGCTTAGTATTTCTGGAAAAGCACTGATGATTTTACAGGAGATCGTCAGTGCTTTTGCGGAAATTCAAGCGGCCAGTGTAGACAGCTGGCAAGTTTTTCCGCAAAATCATTTCATTTTGCGGAAAAACTTGCCAGTCTAGACACAGCCATTCTGTTTGTACTTAGGGCAGAGCAACAAAGGCAGGGCTGGCGGCCTGTGCCCCCAGCATGGCTAACAGGCCAGTGCGTCTGATGGGGATGCCCTGGCGAACGGCCTGTGTTCACAGTAGTTCTCTGTGTCTCCCGACAGGGGGAGAGGCCGATGCCGCCCGGGTGCAAATCGCCCATTTCGCTGAGGAGGGGATGACGCTGGAGGAGCCCACGGGGCTGAGGCCGTTCCACGCCGTGCTGCAGAACCCCAGCTTCTCCCTGTACGGAGTCCTCCTCGTCGTCTCTAGAGTCCTGCCAATCCCTGTCCACGCCCTGGTGCTGATTTACCTGGCACTCCGGGCTGCAGACACAACCCTCCACCTCTACCTCATCCCCAACGACCACTCGCTGGAGAAGGTACCGGGGAACCTGAGGCCTTTGCCACGAATGCAGGTGGCGCCCCGCCGGGAAAGCTGGGGGCCCAGTGATTGGGATAGGCTGGGGATGAGGAGTGCGGGGGATAGGAGGGGGCTCCAGGCCGGGGCAGGGGGTGGGGTGTGGGAAGGGG